AGGCCCCCCCCGTGTTTGCTGCTGGGGGCCTCTCTTTTGCTTTTCTTAAAAGATATGGTTTATACTTTGTTGCAGTGACGCAGCAAAACCCTTCTGCTGCTCTTTTGATTGAGCTGCTGCTGAGGCTCGTCAAAGCCATCAAAGTAAACCCTAAACCCTAAACCCTAAACCCTCAGCGCAGCAGCAGCCCTGGTCGCTTGGCCTCGCGCGTGCGCGCCTTGCTGCTGCTGCTGCTGCTGCTGCTGCTGCTGCGTCTTGCGCGCTGCAGCCTCTGCCGCTGCTGCTGCTGCTGCGCTGCGGCGGGGGGGGCGCGAAACCCTAAATTAGGGTTTGGGGGCGTGTTTGTGGAGGATTTTTGCAGGATTTTTGCGGGGTTTTGACGGAGGAAGTGCTGCGGAGAAACTTCGTGTTGGTTTACGAAATTGTGGAGGAAATTTGCGCCGAGGGTTTTCTCCAAAACGCTGAAACAGAGTTTCTGAAGGCCAACATCTTCTCCGAGCCGCAGCCCGACTGCAGCGCAGCAGACCCCAAGGCCAGCAGCAGCACTTCCGCTCCAACTAATTAATTAAATAATCAATTAATTAAATTAATTAATTAATTGATTAATTGATCAATTTAATTAATTCAATCACTTTATTTGTTTGTTTCTTTGTTTTGTTTGTTTACTTGGGTGGTTGCTTTTTCGTTCGGGAGTTGGGCGCTTTTTGCGTCTGCTGCTGCTGCTGCTGCTGCTGCTGCTGCTGCTGCTGCTGCTGCTGCTGCTGTGTGGGCCATGTTGTCTGTGTTGCTGCTGCTGCCGCTGCTGCAGAGGCCACTCTCCCTCTGCTGCTGCTGCGTCGGCCATTTGCTCTGTGTTGCTGCTGCTCCCTCGCCCATTTGCTGCTGCTGCTGCCTGGGCCATTTGTCCTGTGCTGCTGCTGCTGCTGCTGCCTCGGCCGTTTGATGCGTGCTGCTGCTGCTGCTGCTGCTGCTGCTGCAGCAAGTGTCGCTTCCTTCTTTCGTGACGACGAGTCCGAAGACAATGCCGTCGACAGCAAGCCGGCGCCCCGTTGCTGCAGCGGGGGCAGCAGCAGCAGCAGGGGGCAGCAGCAGCAGCGGGGGCGCAGCAGCAGCAGCAGCAGCAGCACGCCGCCGCAGCGAAATCTTTGTAGATATCATTGAAAAGGTTTCTGCTGTTTTAGCAGCAAATGGAAATCTGCTGCATGCATGTTTAGAAGGCTGCATTCAAATGAAGTCTTATTTAGACCCCCCCCCGCTTTTAAAACTCGCTCTCACGGACCAAACCGCCATCGGAGGCAAACCCTAAACCCTAAACCCTAAACCCTAGGTGCCCGCCGCAACGCCGCGAGCAGCCTGCAGCGACACGCTGCCCTACATGCTGGGGACTCGCTCTAAACCCTAAACCTTAAACCCTAGGCCTTTTGCTGCAAACCCTAAAGCCTTCACTTTAGACCCTAAACCCTTTACTTTAAACCCTAAACCCTTATTTTAGACCCTAAGCCCTTCACTTTAAACCCTAAGCCCTTTACTTTAAGCCCTAAACTCTTTACTCTAAACGCTAAACCCTTACTTTAGACGCTAAACCCTCGAGAGACCCTCCTAAACCCTAAACCCTAAACCCTTGCTGCGCCTTGCCACGCTCAAGTTGATCTCTCGCATCTTAGAGCTGGGGCTGCACAGTGCTAACGAGGGTTTAGGGTTTAGGGTTTAGGGTTTCGGGTTTAGGGTTTCGGGTGTTTCCAGTTTCAAGGCCGAAGGCGTAGTGTTTCGGGTTTCGGGTTAAATTCAACGGGCGTGCACTCCGCAGCTCGGCGTTTAGGGTTTAGGGTTTAGGGTTTAGGGTTTAGGGTTTGCGCTTAGGGTTTGGAGGGGGTTTGGTGGTGAGCGAGGGCTGCAACTTCCACGAGTGCGTGGACTTGTCTCTGTTTGAGTCCGAAAGACTTTTGAGTTTTAAACCCCCTTCTGGAGAATTCATTTTAATGAATTACAGAATCCCCACTCTCTCCAACGTCCCTTTTAGGGTTTTGCCAACCCTCGAGGACCTCGGCAGGGGCAGGGTGCGAGGGTTTGCCGCGAGGGTTTAGGGTTTGCCCCGAGGGTCTAGGGTTAGGGTTTGCCCCGAGGGTTTAGGGTTAGGGTTTGCGCCGAGGGGTTGCGGTTTGCGCAAAGAGCTCAGCGCTAGGGTTCAGGGCGAGGGTTTGGGGTTTGCGGAGAGGGTTTAGGGTTAGGGTTTGGGGCGAGGGTTTGGGGTTTGAAGCGAGGGTTTAGGGTTAGGGTTTGGGGCGAGGGTTTGGGGTTTGGGTTTGGGAGGCTTTAGGAGCGTCCATCATTCATTCCGGCCTTTCAGAGCTCGTTGGGGCCTCCTGGGGTTCAGGGTTTAGGGTTTAGGGTTTAGGGTTTAGGGTTTGTTGCAGGCGGAGGTGACTTTGCGGGTTCGAAATGATATTCCCAACACTTCTTGTGCAGCAAATATTATTTTGTCTCTTTCTGTTCCCAAGTCCACTGCTGCTGCTTCTCTAGAAGCCATTCCCTCCGTGGCAGCGCAGGCGAGGGTTTAGGGTTTAGGGTTTAGGGTTTGGGGTTTAGGGGTTGGGCGCCCCTGCAGCCGCCGCTCCTCCGACTCATTGTCTGCTTTTGCTTCTCTAAACCCTAAACCCTAAACCCTCTTGTTTTTTCTATTTCTTTTGCCGAGGTGCTCTACGTAGCCCAAAGGGTTTAGGGTTTAGGGTTTAGGGTTTAGGGTTTGGGGTTTGCTGTGCAGAGCGCGGAGTTCATTGCGTCGGAGCATCGAGTCCAGTGGGTGCTAAAGAAGTTCCAGGTGCGCCTCAAACCCTAAACCCTAAACCCTAAACCCTAATTCCCGCTAGCTAGCTAGCCATGTAGCCAGCTAACTAGCTCTGCGGCTAGCCATCTAAACAGCCAGCTAGCTATCGAAATAGTTGGCCAGCCAGCTAGCTAGCTAGCACGTCTAGCCACCCAGTTATGCAGCCATCCACCCAGCTAGCTAGCTAGCTAGCTAGCTAGCTAGCTAGCCAGCTATTTAGCCAGCTAGCCACCCAGCCAGCCAGCCAAACGGCCAGCCAGGCAGCTAGCCACCCTCGCCGCTATCTAGCCAGCTAGCTAGCCATCTGTCCAGCTAGCTAGCCAGTTACCTAGCCAGCTGGCTAGTTAGCTAGCTGGAGAGATGGCTAGCTAGCCAGCAAGCTAGTCAGCTAGCTGGCTAGCCAGCCAGCTAGCTAGCCAGCTAGCTAGCCAGCTACCTAGCTAGCCAGCTACCTAGCTAGCCAGCCAGCTGGCCAGCTGGCCAGCCAGCTAGCTAGCTAGCTAGCTAGCTAGCCAGCTAGCTAGCTAGCTAGCTAGCTAGCCAGCTAGCTAGCTGCGTGTGTTCAGGGGGGCAGCGAGTTGGCGTTTGTGGCGCGTCTGACTTTCCACCCCTGGGCGAGCCCTCCGCTGAAGACCGAATTTGGGCCCTGCAGTTTGGACTTTGAAATTCCCATGTACAGCGTCTCCAGCCTCCAGGTCAGCAGCAGCAGCAGCAGCAGCAGCAGCAGCAGCAGCAGCAGCAGCGGGGGCTGCATCGGGAGGGGGAGGGGGAGCGGGAACAGGGAGGGGGAAGTTGGGGTGGTGGGAGGGGCAGCAGCAGCAGCAGTTGTACGGGGAGGCCAGTCCCAGCAGCAGCAGCAGCAGCAGCAGCAGTGGTAGAGCAGCAGCAGCAGCAGCAGCAGCAGCAGCACGGACGGCAGTAGGAGAAGGTGGTGTTTCTGTTGCTTGTGCTGTTGTTTGCGGCGCTGCTGCCAGCCCTACTGAAGCAGTTGCTGCTGCTGCTGCTGCGTCCGACACAACAGTTGCCGCTGCTGCTGCTAACCTTACGCTGCTCCCGCTGCTGCTGCTGCTGCTGCTGCTGCTGCAGGTGCGGTATCTGCGGGTTGCTGAGCGCCAAGGCGCTTTTAATCCTTTCCGTTGGGTCCGTTATGTGACTCAGTCTTCATCTTACATTTGCAGATTTTAAATGAATAAAAACAAAAAATAAATAAATAAATAAATACAATAAATTAAATAAATATATAATTAAAATTGAATTCCCTTTTTTGAATTCCCGAGAGCCGAAAGCGACGCAGCAATCGCGCGCTTAGGTGTACGTACACCTCAGAGGCTTAGCCGCATGCATTTCTCTCTCTTTTTTTTTTCTTTTTGGCTTTTTGAAAGCCACTTCTTTTCAATAAACCATTTTCTTACTATTTCTTTTCCACAGAATAGAATAATAAGGAGAAACAGCAGCAGCAGCAACAACAGGGGGCCCCCGGGGGGCCCCCAGGGTACTGTGGGGCCCCACAGACCCGAAACGCCAAGGGGCCCTTTGGGTCTTCTTAGGGGCCCCTTGGGGTCCCTTTTGAGGCCCTTTGCGGACCCTTGGGGGGCCCTTTGGGGGCCCCCTCAAGAGCTCTTTAGGGGCCCTTTGGGGGCCCCCTTGGGGCCTCCTAGGGCCCTTTGGGGGGCCCCCCTAGGGGCCCCCAAAAGGCCCTAGGAGCCCTATTTCATACTGGAGGGGCCCCTGAGGGGCCCCTCCAGTACACAATAGGGCCCCAGTGTGGCGCCCCACAGTGGGGCCCCCCCTGTGGGGTAGCTTTGCCGGGGGGCCCCTACAAGTACCCTGGGGGCCCTTAGGGGGCCCTTCATTGGCCCCCAAGGGGACCCTTTAGGGGCCCCCAAAGGGGGCCTTTAGGGGCCCCCAAGGGGGTACTTTAGGGGGCCCTTAGGGGACCCTAAAAGGCCCTTTCAGATGGGGCCCCAGTTGGGGTAGTTAGTTGGTAGGGCCCCCCGGGCCTCTCATTCTGGGAGGCTGTGCGATGGGGGTGAGGGTTTAGGGTTTAGGGTTTAGAGTTGATTAGGGTTTAGGGTCTGGGATTTGGAGTGGAGAGGCGACTTGGGGCTGGAGGCTGAGCTGCCAGCAGCAGAAGGCAGCATGTTTTGAATTAGGGTTTAGGGTTTGGGGCCCGCGGATTTGGGGCGGCGGGGACAGCGCAGCCTTCGCTGCAGCTGAGGGTTTAGGGTTTAGGGTTTGGGGGATTGGCTGCACGGAATTCCGTGCATATAATGCGGCTGGGCGCATGCATTCCGTTTGGGGCAGCAGTTAGCTGCTGCTGGCGAGGCCCCGAGGAAGGGGCCCTGCGAGGGGCCTCGGGGGCCCCTGGGGGCCCCCCAGGGTTTAAAAGGAAGTAAAAATGAATTAAAAGTGCAAAATGAATTGAATTTGAAAAGAAGTGACGGCTGGAGAGGGGGAAAAGCAAAGAGTGGTGGTTTGCGGAAGGAGCTGTACAGACACCCGGCGCGGCGCGGCCGACAGCCCTGTGGCGGCAGCCGCAGGCAGCGGCGGAACGGCAGAAGTGTTTTATTATTTCATTTTATTTTATTTTTAAATTAAAGTTTTACTTTTAATTCTTTTACTGAACTGTTCTGGCCCTTCGCGCCGCTCTGCGCCCGCCGCCGTGCGTCGCGCTGCAGCCGAAGCCGCGGCTCCGCAGCAGCACCCGCAGCAGCAGACCAATGGTCACGCAGCAGCAAGCCCCTTTTCTGCTTCTTTGCAACGCGCAGCAGATAAAAAAGAGTAAAAATAAACCCTTTAAACGAGAAATAGAAGGAACTGTGGCCCCAAACCCTCGGCCCCGAGCGCAGCAGGAGCGCCGCCAGGAAGCGGGTTTTCGGGTGTACGTACACCGGAGCGGTTCGGGGTGTACAGACAGCTCATTCCTACCCTCCCCGCTCTGGCGCCTTGGCTGGAGACCCCAAACCCCAAACCCTAAACCCTAAACCCTAAACCCTAGACCCTCGCGCGCCGCCCCGCCAGCCGCCCCGGGGCGCTCCACTATGAGGCGCTGTTGGACTGCGGCGCGGCCCGGAACGCAAACCCTAAACCCTAAACCCTAAACCCTAAACTGCGAACCGCAGGATGGCGTCTTACTTCACTCCAACCCCTTTTCTGGACGAACAAACCCTCGGGGACCTCACCAAAAAGTGTTTTCTCCTCAAACCCTCGCCCAAAACCCTCAAAGATGCTGCAGCAGCAGCAGCAATTTGGAAAGCCCTCAACGCGGTTTACCCCGCGTGGTTTGACCAGTCCGTCCACCCCGACGCCTGCGAGTCCCCCGAGGCACGCAAACCCCAAACCCTAAACCCTAAACCCTAAACCCTAAACCCTCGACAAACCCCCGTTTCCAAAGCTGCGGAGCCGAGGCAGCTGAAAGCCCGGAGCAGCAATCCACCGGTGGCTGCGCACTGGCACACAGCAGCGGAACCAAACCCTAAACCCTAAACCCTAAACCCTAAACCCTAGTTTTGCTCAGGTGGCCGTGGAGAACATGCTTTACTACATGAACGAATTTCTAGAGAGTAAATTCCAGTCGGACTTCGACATTTTGAAGGGACACATTCCCGAGCTGCTGGCAGGCAACCCCTCTCTCGTAAACCCTAAACCCTAAACCCTAAACCCTAAACCCTAAACCCTTGATGGCAGCAGCGCGGATCTTAGCCCCAGGGCGCCTACTGGGGCTTGGGGGGAGGCTGTTCTGAGCTGCAGGCTCTTTGCCGGCGCCGAGGATCTAGGACTAGGGTTTAGGGTTTAGGGTTTAGGGTTTAGGGTTTGCGAGCAGGTGCTGAAGCTGTACGAGTTCATTTTATTGATTTCCGTCCAGAGTGACTCTCAAGAAATAGTGGCGAGGTTTATGGAGTTGAGTGACACTTCTCAAGGAGTGATTCGGAAAGTTATTCAATTTTATGCAGACGACGTAAACCCTAAACCCTAAACCCTAGGCCCTAAACCCTAGGCCCCAAACCCCAGGCCCCAAGCCCTAGATGCTGCGTGGGCGCTTGGCCCGCTGCGCTGCGCACAGGCGTCGGCTGCGCTGCGGCTCGCTGGGCGCGCAGGGCCTAGGGTTTAGGGTTTAGGGTTTAGGGTTTAGGGTTTAGGGTTTGGGCCGCAGGACGAGTCGAATTCGTTTTCGGAAGTGGCGGCGCTTTCGAAGAGCTGGGGTTCGGGTGTACATACACCCCAGGAAGAAGCCAGGGGGGGCCCTTTGGCGCAGCGGCTGCAGCAGCAGCTAGCTGCAGCGCAGCAGCAGCTAGCTGCAGCAAAGCAGCAGCTAGCTGCTAGCGAAACCCACAAAGAATCCATTCTGGACAAACTCAAAACCACCGAACAAGAAAGAGACAAAGAAAGAGACAAAAGAATCACCCTCGAAATACAACTCGAACGCAAAAAGGACAGCCTCCTCGTAAGGGTTTAGGGTTTAGGGTTTAGGGTTTGGGGTTTAGGGGGCGGGGTGGGTTCGGAGGGTGCAGAGCCCAGGAATCGTCTCCAAGCCAAATAGTTTTCAGGAATTAGGGTTTAGGATTTAGGGTTTAGGGTTTGGGGTTTAGGATTTGGAGCTTGAGGAGGCTGCAAGCTGGAACTGTTCTTCAGACGACTAGGAGGAACTGTTGGTCTGGGTCTAGGGTTTAGGGTTTAGGGTTTTGGGCGCAGGGTGTAGGGCTTAGGGTTTAGGGTTTAGGGTTTAGGGTTTAGGGTCTTGGGTTTTTTATCAGAAAGAGTTTACGACTCAAACGGATGAACTTGAGAAGACCATCGCCAGGCTCAAAACTGAGTTGGAGGTACCTCTAAACCCTAAACCCTAAACCCTAATTCCCAAACGCTAAACCCTAGATACTACGGGGAAAGCAGCAGGTTGCTTGAGTCACGGAGCGAGGGTTAGGGTTTAGGGTTTAGGGTTTAGGGTTTAGGGTTTGGGTTTTCTGGGGATGCAGACGGAAAAGAAGGAAAAGAAAAAGATCGAGGAAAGGCTGAAGCAGCGCATCAACGAGTGCACAAACCCTAAACCCCAAACCCTAAAC